AAGAAGGAAGGAAGGAATGAAAACTAAAAAAAAAAAAAAAAAAAAGAGAGAGAGAGAAAGAACAGATAAAGAGCGATGGAGCAGAAAACCACGTTTTATTACTTTCATTACTTTTCCGAACAATTTAATTTGACATAAACATACATTTGTATTTTGGGAGAAGGGGGAAATAAAACTAAAAAATTAATCTGTTAGGCCCAGTGCAGTGGCTCACGCCTGTAATCCCAGCACTTTGGGAGGCCAAGGTAGGTGGATCACCTGAGGTCAGGAGTTCAAGACCAGCCTGGCCAACATGATGAAACCCTATCTCTACTAAAAATACAAAAATGAGCTGGGTATGGTGGCACACCGCTGTAATCCCAGCTACTCAGGAGGTTGAGGCAGGAGAATAGCTTGAACCTAGGAGGTGGGGGTTGCAGTGAGCCCAGATGGCACCGCTTCATTCCTGCCAGGGCTACAGAGCAAGACTCCATCTCAAAATTTAAAAGATTAATCTTTTAAATAATAGAAATATAAGAGGAAGACTTCCACTATCAGCCATGAGGGAATAGCTCAATTCAAACTGACCATCCCACTCTAAACAACCCTAAAACCTGTACAAAATATAACTGTGTGAAGGCATTGGAGTGGCTACAATCTTTGAAAGAAGGAAAACACACAAGGTGAACCCTGAGTTCAACTCAGTTTTATCATATTATATATGATACAAGATTTATCAGACTACTGTCATAGAATTTTACGTGAACAAATTCTACCACTATGTGTTTATAGTTTACAAAGCATTTTTCACAAAAACTCTAATTTTAACTCAGTAACACTGTAAGGTAGATATTACTATTTTCAGTTTACAAATGAGAAAACTAAGTAATCTTCCAATGTCACATAGCTAGTAAGCAGCAGACCTAACCTAGGTCTTCAGGCTTCAAATCCTGTACTCTTTTTCTTATTTACTTAGTGCTTCAAATTTTTCATTAGAAAAACTCATTTAGAACTAATACCATTATCTTAGATGAAGAAACAGTTACTCTATCAAGTGAGAGGTGAGAAAAGTAAAAAATAAATCATCAACCCAGAATGGTAAGTTCAGCATTTGGTTCACTAAACCACTGTAATAACCACAGTATTCTGAGAACTTCAACTGTAGTAAATATATCATTATAAAAGGAACACCAACAAAAAAGGATAGCACTAAAAGATTCAACCCCCTTTCAGTTTCACACTAACTTTAACCATTTTCATAGAAGTAGCGACCATCTCATTGCATCTCCATTTTCTCCTAAATTAAGACTTACCATAATGAGTCGTTGAATACCTTGTTCTGAGGCAAATGAGGCTTCACACATACTGAGCAACTTGCAGGCAACATAATGTACTGCAAAACAGTAATTAAACAACCATAAACACAAAACATTCATTCTCCTTTTATATACACCAACAAATAGAAAAGATTGAAAGGAAGCCAGTTTTGTTGTTATTAAAAATAAAAATTATAAAGGCCTTTTTAAAAAATGAGTTTTCAAAAGAAAATGGCCTGAAACTTATTATAAGAATCATTTACTGAATGCTTCAGTAAGAGATTTATTTATTTTAATTGTACTTTGGGCTCTGAGGTGAATGTGTACATCCTGCAGGATTGCTGCATAGGTACATACATGGCACGTTGGTTTGGTGACTCCATCCCCCCATCTCCTACATCAGGCATTTCTCCCAGTGTTATCCCTCCCCATCCTCCCCCGACCCCCCCGTCCCTCCCCTCCACTCCCCTCCACCCTCCCACCTAGCCCTGTAAGTGTTGTCCCCTTCCCTGTGCCCAAGTGCTCTCATTGTTCATCAACCGCCTATGAGAGAAAATATGCAGTGTTTGGTTTTCTGTTCTTGTGTCAGTTTGCTCAGAATGATGGTTTCTAGGTTCATCCATGTCCCCACAAAGGACACGAACTCGTCGTTTTTTATGGCTGCATAGTATTTCATGGTGTAGATGTGTTACATTTTCTTTGTCCAGTCTACCATTGATGGGCATTTGGGTTGGTTCCAGGTCTTTGCTATTGTAAACAGCACCACAATGAACATATGTGTGCATGTGTCTTCATGATAGAATGATTTATAATCCTTTGGGTATATACCGAGCAATGGGATTGCTGGGTCAGATGGAATTTCTATTTCTAGGTCCTTGAGGAATCGCCACACTGTCTTCCACAATGGTTGAACTAATTTACACTCCCACCAACAGTGTAAAAGTGTTCCTATTTCTCCACATCCTCTCCAGCATCTGTTGTCTCCAGATTTTTTAATGATCCCCATTCTAACTGGCGTGAGATGATATCTCAATGTGGTTTTGATTTGCATTTCTCTAATGACCAATGATGATGAGCATTTTTTCATATGTTTGTTGGCCGCATAAATGTCTTCTTTTGAAAAGTGTCTGTTCATCTTCTTTGCCCACTTTCAAATGGGTTTGTTTGTTTGTTCCTGTTTATTTATTTTTGAGACAGAGTCTTGCTGGAGTGCAGTGGTGCACGATCTTGGTCCACTGTAGCCTCCACTTCTGGGTTCCAATGATTCTCTTGCTTCAGCTTCCAGAGTAGCTGGGATTACAGGCCTGCGCAACCATGCCCACCTAATTTTTGTATTTTTAGTAGAGATGGGGACTCACCATGTTGGCCAAGCTAGTCTCGAACTCCTGACCTTAAGTGATTCACCCACCTCGGCCTTCCAAAGTGCTGGGATTACAGGCATGACCAACTGTACCCAGCCCAGAGAAATATTTAATACTTAATTTTAATTTCTTCAGGTCTTAAGTCCCAAAGACTCACTAAAAATACCTGATTCCACATGATGCTCTTGTGTATACCATGTTATCAAAAGAATAATTCTAAATTCAATTGACTTAAAGCTATTCAACATCTGACAAAATCTCTGGAAATCAGAATAGTTTTAGATTTTTCTCCTAAAATGTGAAACATTCTAAATATATATATATATTTTTTTTCTGTAGAGAGGGGGTCTCACTGTGTCACTCACCCAAGGTGGAGTATAGTGGCATGATCATAGCTCACTGCAGCCTCAAATTCCTGGGCTCAAGCAATTCTCCCACCTCAGCCTCCCAAAGCGCTAGGATTATGGGTGTGAGCTACCACACTTGGTCTAAATATACTCTTTTCTGTAGATGTAATAACAGTTCTAAAAGTATAATTTAGAAAATACAGACAACTTCATTATATAACTCATTTTCCCTGAAAACAGGGAAGTTTGCATAATTATAACATCTATTTCTCTAATTTATTTTAGCGTAAAACATGCCCAAGTTTTAAAAAGCAGCTGTGCAAATAACTGAGCTAGTCACCTTTATGTTGGATGTCAGCAGCCATTTTACCTATGCTAACACCATTTCGGATTAATAGTCCATTGAAAAAGAGATTTGCTCAGCTGAAATTACAGGGTAACTGAAATGGTCAGATTTGTATAATCTATTCGTCACTTAACAAAATTAACTTCTTCTAAAAAACACTTTTGGTAAAATAATTACTAATTATTTATATTGACTTGAATTTCCAGTTTTGAAAAATTTTGAAAATGTTTCCTTATGGCTGGGCACAGCGGCTCATACCTGTAATCCCAGTGCTCTAAGAGGCTGAGGTGGGTTAATCACCTGAGCTCAGGAGTTCGAGACTCACCTGACCAACATGGTGTAACCTTGTCTCTACTATAAATGCAGAAAAAATTAGCTGAGAGTGATGGTGCATGCCTGTAATACCAGCTACTCTAGGGAGACTGAGGCAGCAGAATCTCTTGAACCTGGGAGCCAGAAGTTGCAGTGAGCTGAGAT